GTAGCTGGTTCCTTTCTGGAGGAGGAAAAAAATAAGAGCTATGTGGAAGCATTATGTTTGTGCAGTGGAAGTGATAGAGCCACAGAGAGAGATTTAGTGTTAAGTCCCATCTATAGAAATGCACAAAAGTCTCTCTGCATCATGCAAGGGAAATCGCTAGCCCTCCATTCAGCTTTGTTGCCAGATTTGGCCCATGGTTTTGAAGATGTGGAAGTGACTGGTGCAGCTCTTGTGGTGGAGGAGTGAAAGGTCAGCAGAGGCTTAAATGAGCTTGTCTTGCATCCAGCTGGGCCAGCAGGAGGTCATTAGGAAGATCGGAGGCTCACTTTAGGCTTGACAGAGTCTCTCCCCATGATACAAGGAGACCGTTTTGCTCATTGCTCTTCTCCCAGTGTATAAAAAGAACCCCAGGGACAGGAATGACACAGAAGTTTATCTTACTACTAAAGTTTTGCTTGAGGAGGGCACAACTAGCAATTACTCAGGAGGGGGATTTATTTTGTTTGTTTGCTTTTGATGGAAAGTAATGGAGATAAGTACAAAAGGCCTATTGATCTGCTGGCTCTATTGTGAAACCAAATAGAGTAGCAGGGGAAAAAATCTGTTCCTTAACATTTAAAAGTCAGAGGACCTGCTCAACTTCACTGCATCAAAGAATTTTGGAATTGCAGGGTTGTAGTTTGACTGGGAAATGAAATTGTTGCTCCCTTAAAATGTTTTTTTCTTGTACGTGGAGAAATTAACATACTGTATTTGACAGCTAATTATGTTAGGGCAAATATACTAATAGTTGTCTTGAATTGGTGCTAAGTGGCTCATTTCTTGGAGGTAGTGCCTGGTGAAATTGTGTGTACTTGCTGAAAAACTCACTCTAGAAAAGTTCTCCATAAGTTTCCAAACATAGAAAATGATGGAAAAAATGAATGTTGCTCTCCCAGAGAAGGTGATAACAGGAGGCAGGTAGCATGTTTTCACATCTTCACCTCTGTTGTTAATGTATGCAGTGGCTCATCAGAGGTAGCTCATGTTAATTTATTCCTGTACACCTGTACAGGGCTTAAAATCAGGTAATAAGACTAGCAAAAACTATACATCTCTGCTTTTTAGCTACAGCTACCCAGAGGCCTATAGAGGAACAAATTTAGTTCTGGAGACATCAGCAGGTTTTAATAAACCAAATACAGATGTCTTACTCCATACAAATCAAGAAGTTTACATGTTTAAATCTGGACTGATTTAACTAGCAATCGAGGAAGGTTCACACTTGGCACCAATGGCTGCCTCATATTTATTTATAAATCACCCTAAGCAAATATTTTGTTTTTAAATTTATTCATGTGGCTGGATCACCTTCCCTACACCTTGAAGATCAGATTATGCTTACCTTTCTGATAAAATTCAAGACAAACCTTAGCAATTAGTGGCCACCGCTCTTAGAAGTAAACAATAAAGGTGGTGAAACTCAACAAAGAGAAATATTTCTTTCTATACACATATCTAGTTTCTGAGAAAGGAGTCCTCATTTTAGTTGCTGGTGTTTTAAAACTGCCAATCACTAAAACAGATAAAAGTACTTGATGACATATTATCAAATACGAAGCAATGTTAGGGAAGAAGATAGAAGCCTATTTTTTTTTTCCTAAATAAAATTTAAATTTAACTTATACATGGGCTTTCCTTACATATAGGTAATCCATGGCCAGTCAGCCCTCCTCAGGATCAAACATTTAAGTCAGAGGATGAAAACATGACCAAAGTTCACTAAGTCTTACTAATTCTGACTATGATGCTGTCTTCAAGAAAATTCTCTTTCTGAAGACTGAAGGTCCAGGCCAGTTAGTTAGAATTTCTTCTTCCCGGGGACTATTTCATATGTATACTTCAAAACTAAGTACCAGTCTCTTACTCCCTGACAGAACCACATCTCAGCAGCAGAAAAATCAAGGGATAAAGGAAGAAGCAATTTCAAAAGCTAATACTTCATAGTGTTATCAATATAACCCGAACACTTCAGCACTCACCTCGGAGGACCAGAGTTCTTTACAGAGAAAATTATTCGCGTTTCACTTTCATTGCTTAGAATAAAAATTATTCCAACAGCCACCCAGTGACTGGGATGAATTAGAATTTGTGTCCCTTTGCTTGCTCTTTGTCATGAGTGTGAAATAGTCCTCTTGTGAATTTATTAAACACACACTTATTTACAGCTACATAGAAAAGGATGCCTTCGGAGCTGTTGCTTAGAATCCTCAACCCTAACAAACCTTGTGCCTCTTTCTCTTCCCTGTCACATTAAACAAAGAACATTCTTGCTTTTCAAAAAGTCTTTAACTTGATCTTATAAAATCCAGAAGGACCATAAGCAAAGACCTGGGAATATCTTCCACCCGACTGGCAACCTAAAACACTGTACTTCACATCTACATCCATCTTACTAACATGCCTATCTGAAGAACAAAAACGCCAACTTCCTCATGTCTGTACTTCTTGGATGAAGCCCAGGAAGACCTGTGGGTAACTTCTGTAAGGTTTCTAATCCTGAAGACAAGAAGGCCACACTGTGAACAGGAGGAAGAGGACGAATGTGCAGGCCATACCAGGGGCACCCTGGCAGCTTGCATACTCCAGCTGGCTCAAGCTCCCTCAGTGCTTCATCTGCACACAAGGTAGACACTGTGGAGCGAAGGATGAATGAAACTCAAAACTCTGGGGAAAGGAAGAAATGGCTACAGGGAAGCAAAATTAAAGACAAAGGAGGGTTTCTTTGGCAAGGTCTGTTGGCTCAATAGAAAGGTAAGAAAACTTAGCTTCACAGTGAGTGGAAGTGTAAAAAAATAGGGCCATAGACTTCCTGTCATTCTAGTGACTCACAGAGTAAAAGCGAAGAGAAGAGAAGGTGAGCCTAACGGACAGATCAGAGATGTGATCCAAGAGGCTTTGGGCACAGGAGATTATATCACAGGCTGCCATTAGACGATGGAGTGACAAAAGAAGGCTGAAAGAAGTAGAATTCTGTTCCACAGCCCACTCTGCTGAGATGCCTAAAGAGGCCGCTACCCAATGGCATCACTGTTTCTGGTCATTTGATGGTAGCTAGCCTCAGTGCTGTATTAACCCAAGTCACAGATACAACAAGGATGAATACTTTTCTTCTTGAAGTATCAGAGTCCCCTCCCCCCAAGTTTTTAACCTGAGATCAAAAGATTTGGATATTTTTAGAAAGCAAAAAAAAAAAAAAAAAATTCAATCTGCAATATTTTTTCTATTTGCTCTTCTTCAGTTATCAGGTGTGACAAATTCTAAAACTTAAAAATATTATGGACAAAATTCAACCTATCAACTGTCTCCCAAAGTCTGCCATCTCCTGTGAGACTGAACACACATGAGAACACATCTGTACCATTCTTCCCACCTGGAACATCCTGGTTATCTGTCACTGGTTTAAGCTTCTATATGTCTAGCCACTGGCTAAGCTCCCACATCCTTAAAATAAAAATGGAGATTGAAATAGTCTTTGGCCATCAATTAATGTTTTTTTCTCTGACAAACCAATAGCATGCAATAGTATCTCCTTATGCATTAAGGACATAAACATCCTAGCACTTGTGCTTTTTAGTGGCTGGACATAAACGAAAGTACCAAGCTTTAGGTATGTAGCCTTTTTGGTCCTACAGCTGTTTATTCTGGTGTTATGACCTGTAATATTTTCAGCAAACCAGCTAAAACTCTGATAGGAATTCATGCAAATAAGCATGAATTTTGGCTTGTCTTCAAACACTCCATTTCCATAAATATTTGATGTAGGTTTTCATGAGTCTTTTATTTTTGTTAAAAAATTTCAATGCATTAACCTCATTATCACTCATGCACTATTTCAAATTTGAAAGAATGAATATTACTCACAAACTTAGGGGAGGTTGGATAGAGTATTATCTTTTATTATTCAAAGTATATCTATCTTACCTGACATATTCTGGAACCATAAATGATAACTTAGAAATTAAAATAACTTTGTGACTACAACCCATTTTTACAGAACAATATAAATGGAGGTGAGAAATCTTTTATTAGACAATAGATTTCTCTTTAAAAGCATGTTTTGCATTGTATAGAGATTTTACTTTTCATAGATCGGGCTCCTTTTATTTCAGTAGAAAGGAAATTTTAGATATATACACACATATAGGTACACATATGTATGTATATATATGTACATATATGGCTTTTTTAAAAGGGTTCATCTTTCAAGTAAGATAAAACAGAATATTTCAGAGACATGTCACTACTTTTCCATAGTACTTTCATTACAGGTTGCTTTGTCAAGAATTCTACCCAATTGATAAGCACTAGAAAATGGGTTGTGGCTACTTGGAAACTTCTTCATTAATTTTGTTTCTTCCACATACACTGATTTTTGCCATATACTAAAATTTTCTCTAAAAATATTTTAAAGAGACAACATAGAATCCTAAACCACGATCCAATATAATGGGAATAACTAACTGATGTGTTACCTGAGCTGGACTGGTACAGTATGTAAACGATCTGCTCACAGGCTCATCTCCATAGTGAAGGATGACCTTGTTATCCTACCACTGACCACCTTGGCACATTCCGTTTATATTATATTTTCTTTAAGTTTAATAAAAAACATGGGAGGTTTAGGACAAGCCGCTTCTCTTTAAGCCCAACTGTTTCAGAGCTGCTGCTACATAGCTAGGGTGTGATGTCATCTGAAGGCTGGACATAATATGTTCAACCGATCCTACAGTACATGCAAGCCTCCCCTTCTCTGCCTAATTCCCATGGCTGACTACATTTTAGAGATATGCTCAAAGACATCATGAAATTAAAATAAACAAACCCACACCGCCACATCTTGCCCCCCACATCAACAATGACTTTGGCTTCACATTTTCTTCTGATATTTTCATGACTCTTAAAGAATTTAAGGACATACTAAATACTCATGTAAGGAATGATAACATTTCTGGTTATACCTACGGAGATGCAGGCTGTCTCGATGTCCTGGACCTATGGTTCTTTCCATCCGTAAATTTCTGTTTCTATATTGGATAAATATGTGTGTATGAAGATAATTTATTGATTTAATTAAAAAGCCACAAGGCAAAGCAGAAATATAAATATATATATATATATATATATATATATATATATATATATATATATGACAGAAGCTGCGGCTTCTAAGTAAAGGTAAATGGGGAGGCAGGGAACTGTGTACAGTTAACTGATTCACACCTAGATGCATGGAAATACATATGCACACACACATGTACACAGCACACAGAGAAAAATGGCGTGCATTACTGGGTAAAATGGCATATGATTCTGCATGCTTAATCATAACAAGCAACAACTGCAACAATCCTTCATGAGCATGGCAGCTTAGTTATCACATGGTCACTGTGGACAATCTTTACAGTGCATCAAAACAGCGAGGTTGGACCTTTTAATGTCAAGTCCAACATGACTGACACTGGCACCCTCCACCCTCAGCAGGAGCAGCCAATGGAGATTTACTGACCTGTCTCTGCTTCGGCGCGAGGGGAAGGCAGCATTGCAGCCAGCCACTGTGCAGACGTGCATCTCTTTTAAGTGAACGTTTCTGTAGTGAAGCTTCACGCTGTAGGAGCTTTTGAAACTCTTCTTGCACACATAACAGATTTTGGGGTCTGGGCTAGAACACAGGTCACCTTCTGGGGAGAACTTTTGAGGACTGGCATAATTCAGGGACGATGCAAAACTTTCGTGTAGGGCAGCCATGCTAGCCCCGCCACCGTTGTACAGTCCATACTGGCTCATGTAAAACATGTCATAAGTGGGATCTGTGAATTCTTCCTTCACCTTGATGACATCCTGGTGAGAGGGTTCACTGTGGTTCTCATCAGGTCTCTCACTGCTCATCAGGACTTTTTCACTCACCTCACTGTGAATGTGCTCTTCCCCTTCCATGGATTCCTCACCCAGTTTGGGCTCTGAAGACTCAGACTCGTTCTCATAGTCCCGCTCAGGCTCCTGGTCCTCAGAAGTCATGCTGTCAGCCCTTCTTATTTCAGTCCTTGAAATGCACCTGGTCCTGTTATGCTTAGAAAAGTCCTTCACAGACATGCCTGGGCTCATCTCCTCTTGGGAGTGGCAATGATTGTCATGGCTCATGTCATTGACCACAGCTCCTCCATCATTGGGGTCATCATCTTCGTCATCAAACTCATCAGCGGTATCGATTATTTCCTTCTCAATCTTTACAGGCATGCTTGACTTCCTGGGCTTTTTCTTGGGTGCCAGGTCGGCACTAGGCTCAATGGTGGCCATCATCACTGCTGGCACTACTGGCTCAGAAGGTGGTGGGGGGTGCTGCTCTATGGTACCACTGGTTGGAATGATGGGACTGGTTGGGAGGGAGGTTGGAGGACTCACCATTTCCCCTGGAGTGAGTAAACTTCTATAAAATGGAGGAACAGGCTGTACAGTCTTTAGCCCAGAAAATACCAGCTGGCTAGGGAGAGGATTCTGTAAGACGGGGTCTAGTGGGGGAGTGGTAAAACCCATTGGGGGCCGCCCAGGACTCGTGAGTGTGAGATTTGATTTCGTACTCGCTATGACGGGGGTGGCAGCTCCTGATGTGGCCCGAATTAAATCTTTGTCTCGGTTATTTCTTAACATAGGCATGTGAAGGCGAGGGTTGGGGTTTGCACTGTGCCGATTTCGGCTTCGGAGGGAGCTAAAGACCATGTTGCAGCCTTCGATGGTGCATCGATGTTTGATCTTCAGATGGACAGCATTATAATGAATTTTGAGAGTACCTTTGTCATAGAAAGTCTTCCCACATGCATTACAGAACACTCTTCCCTTCCTGGAGGCCGACCCCATCCTTCTCATCCGGTGAATCCGGAATGAGCTTTTTGGGTGTTCAGTTTTGGTGAGATCACTGACTGGGGCAGAATTCTGAATGGGGGAGACACAGGCTGGCTCGGTTTTGGGCTCCACATTGGTGATGCTGGTCAGGGCATTTCTATTTGGTGTCTGATCATTCTTATAAGGTGTGGGAGACACTTCAGACTCGCTGCTCTCATTATATTCATTCTGGGTTGAAAGGCTTGGTTCCCGCAGCCTCAGTCCTGGTTGCTCTAGAAGTAGCCCGTTTGGAGGCAACCCTAGCAGAGGGGCTGAGACAGGGTTTATGTACTGGAATGGAAGCAGAAATGCAAGGCTGTTGGGGATGTTTTCGAAGTGATGAATGCTGGAAGGATTGCTGTTCTCTAAGTGAGCAAGGAGGCTGGGACTCCTGGTGCGATTATTGCTCTCAATGAAAGTCCTTATATCTGAGTCTGTCTTTGAAGATGGTACAGCCACGGCCTGCCCTTCTTTCTCCTGAATTGCCATCAGCTCCACAATGGATTTGGTTTCTCCAAACCGCAGAAACTGCTGAAGGGTGATGATTTCCTCTTCTCGAGACATGATGGCCCAGCGGTCCAGCACCTTGCCGGCAGCATCCTACGGGCCACATCAAAGAAACAACAAAGACAAACACAGAAACTTATTGATTGTGCATAATTATCCACTGCAACTGAAGGTGCTCTCTCTGCTCGTGAAACACTGAGAGCGAGAGCAGAAAACAACATGCAAGCGCTGTTAATAAAAAATCAACCCACAAAGCAAACTTTTCTGCCATGCAAATGTAGTAATTAGAGTCACAGTTAGAGAAACAGATTGAGTTTAATAATGTCAAAGCAAACAAAATGTAGACCACTGGGGCTCTGTGATCTAAAATGCCTTCAGTACTGCTATTTTAACAACAATGATCTATGTACTATGCAACTATTTAGCATATATTAGTATAAGACGTGAACTCTTGCTGTGCAACCCAGTATAAATGCAAAAAAAAAAAAAAGGTACCTTAATCCTTATTAAATAGTGACACCATAGGAAGGAATTAAGTACAGTTTGCGAAATTTACTTCTTCGACACAAGCAGACATGAAACTGGATTCAATGATGGAAATTCCTTTAAATGGGAGTTATGTGAATTTCTGAATCAAAAAGATGAATAAAGTAGCATTACCCCTCATACTCCCTTCCCTAAGCTGTATCTTTTCTTTTTAAAATGGCTGTATTTTAGCATCATTTAAGAGTAGGCAATTTCATGAGGTAGAATCAGGGAAATATTATTTGTGAAAGGTAATTGTACTTTTCCTAAAAATTGGTTGTAATCCTATGATTCAAAGTTTGAGTTAGACTTAAAGTATTTGACTTCTTATGATCTTGTTATAAATGACAGTCATAGATATTTGAAAAGTAAACATGTGATGGATTTAGATAGAATAAATGTGTAAAAAGTTGTCTCTTAGCATCCTCCTCTGATAGCAAAGGAAGTCCACAGAGACTACACATCAGCAATCATCACACTATGTGTTGTTAAATATACATTAAAAAGCATTTCACACTTTCATTTTTGCTAGTAACTATGAGATTTGCCTGAAGGTAGGACTTAAAAATCCTGCAATGTGATGTCAGGCAATCCATTTCAGCGTGGATTGAGAGAAATCTATTTAAACACTTACATAATGACTCCATCATTTTAGAAGGCATCATTTCTTAGACCTACCAGGACAGGGCGCTTTGCAACCCTCTGTGAATGACACTTGCTCCAACCCTGACCATCAGCTTAAGAAAGCATAAAATCTTGTTGAAAAACAAAAGAGAGCTCGGGTGCAGCTCAGTGGCACAGCATGTGCATGCCATGTGCATAGCCCTGGGTTCTATCCCTAGCACCAGAACAAACAAACAAATGATAAGACAGTTATTAATTACAAAGGGGAAACTCATAATGTTACATTAGGCAAATCTAACAGACACCACCTTAAAAGAGACATCAAAGTTAACACCACTGGTGGACATTAACATTGACATCCCGAAGGGATACATTGAGAGGGGCACGGTCTCACTTTTGTGGCATTCTTGTCAAAAACTTACCTCCCCCAAACATGGGAAAACATCGGGCAAACCAAAACCGAGGGGCATTCTACAAAACAGTGGTAATACTCTTCAAAGTGTAAATGTCAGGTAAGATTAAAAAGAATAAAGAATGGTCAGAGATAAGACAAGACTACAAAGACACAATCATGCAATTCTAGATTAGAAAAGGACATTACTGGGAAACTGACAAAATTTGAAGAAAGTCTCTAGATAGGTTAATATTTCCATATAAATCTTAATTTTCTGATTTCAACAATGGTATAAATGATTACAGGAAGACGTTTCTCTAGGGTAGCAGGATGAGGGATATAAGGAACTAAGGAACCTGTACTACTTTTGCAATGGAAAGTCTTTCCTCAGCCTTTGAATACAAAATTCCATCTAGATCACAATCATGCCTTGAGTGGTCACAGCTAGTTTGATTAAGTAGGTATCTGTCATTTGTTTGAATTTGGGGGGATGGGAGGTATCAGGGATTGAACTCAGGGGTTCTCGACTACTGAGCCACATCCCCAGACCTATTTTGTATTTTATTTAGAGTCAGGGTCTGACTGAATTGCTTTAGTGCCTCACCGTTGCTGAGGCTGGCTTTGAACTTGTGATCCTCCTGCCTCAGCCTTCTGAACTGCTAGGATTACACGCATGCGTTACCATGCTCACCTTGAATTATTTTTTAAAGAAGCTCTGATAGTTATGTTCTATTCTCCATAAAATTCCCTCCTAGCATTCTGTCATTTTACATCAACAGTATGTGTGGTGCACACATAAGGGCGTCCATCCCATGAAAACTGCCAAATACATTTATCTCTTCCTCACTGAATAGATAAAATTGGACTTCAGTTCAAATATTCCCATATAAGTCTATGCTCAGAACAGTCATATAATTATGTGGGTACAGAGTGACTCCAAATGATCCTCCAGGATTGTTGAAAATGCAACAGCTATTTTTAACAAGATAGATACCGATTTCTCACACATCATTTTTTGTTTGTTTGTTTGTTTGTTTTTGGAATGGCGGAGGGACAGGGGGTTGGTATTGTAGGTACATAAAAAAATTAAAATTGTGATTATATATAGTTTAATTTCATTTGCACCTCATCATAGCTTCCAGAGCTCTGTGAATATTTAACAGATGAGAAATTAGAGGTAAAGAAATATAAGAGTGCTCGTTAAGTTTTGCCAAGGCACTGACCTCCAGGCTACAACTTGAACCCAGAAATTCTGACTCTAAGTTCACTGTCTCAACAGTGTGCAGGACTATTATTTTGTGGTGCCATTTCCCAGGTAAGCATGTTGTGTTTGTGACAGTGACAAGCAGAACTTTTTCTGAACAGTCAGTCCCCAGAACACTGTAATGTCCACTTGTATGCCATTTTTAAAATCTCTTCTTACCATCAATCTACTCTTGATCACTTTTTCTCGAGCCTTTCACTATGGATTGCTTCCTAACTGTATAAGGTCTTTTCTTCCCAGGTAGCCTACACCTAAATCTGCATGTCAATAATGGCGGCCTCTGGTATTAAAATGAACCTCAGAAATGATAGCAACTGGTCCCACCCACCTGAGGCATCTCTTTTCCCTCCTCCCAGTTTTCTTCTCCCAGCAGTGCACAGCCAGCCCCTCTGGTTTCCCCTTTCTCTGGTCCACCAAAACTCCAGCTGCTATTTCTAAAACCACTGCCCTTAGTCCAGATTAGCTATCTCTGCTAAAATAGAGACTGTGGTGTTAAGTCACTTACTTTGAGTAGAAAAGATTCCGGTAAGCAAGATTCAGAACTTTGCTAGTATCTAGCCTCATAAAAGAGAGGTTTCACTTATAGTGGAGACAGAGGGGACAATTTATACTTATAGAGAAGGATAACATAGCACTTTTGCAAACAAAACTACTCACGAACTGCACAAATATCTACACATGCATTCAAATTTCCATCCCTGTGATGGGGTACCCCTCTGGCTCCAGGTAATAAGAACCACAGAAATTCTTTCCAAAGAAGTTATCACTCATATTTTATCAAGATTATCTAATACCATCAACATTTATAACTGGAAAAATTGCAGAAAGAAACAAAGTTGATCTTCATAGGCAACACAAGGAGCCAGAAAACTCCTTTGCTGAGAACAGCTATCAGTTTTGGTATATCCACAGATGAACTGGTTGAAGGGAGTTAGAAACCAGCAAAGGGAACAAGGGAAGCCCAGGGTTTTTTTCTTTCTTTCTTTTTTTTTTTTTTTTCTGAAGATCTTTGTAATAGAAATAAGCAAGATTTGGTGCAGTGATTCTTACACACCACAACAACAACAAACACAAACTTGTCTACAAGTAATTCCAAGTAACCATTTGAAAACCTTTAGGACGAATGGAAACTATTGCAATAACTGAAGACATATATTTTTTTCTTTTTTTAGAAATTTGTTTTTATTTTACTTAAGTATTGACTCAAGACTGACAAAAGGGAAAAACTAGTTTTCCTTATGGATAGTTTAGATGATCAAATATAAGTTACCAAAGTGGATAGGAATTCTAAAAAGAATCAAACGTTATCATGAAATGAATAAAACAAAAACCTCTTAACCTGATATAAAGATCTAGACTACTGACCCACCCACACCAGGACACTGATCTTGTACATGAATGAGTTAACATTAGGATATGTATCTGAACTTTTCTCCTTCCTAGGCAAATTTGTAGTTGGTGAGTCAATTCCTTTATGCTTTCCCACTTGAAATCAGAGTTCACTGATCTTCAGTCTGTTAGGTTGGGAAATATTTTACAAAATGAGGATAATAAGACTTCTCCTATTAAAGTTAAATGGAAGGTATTATTATAAGTATTGATTTCCTGTGAAAATAATAGTACACCACTAATTAAAAATTTAGTAACATGAAATAATATAGACTTATAAACCAGTTTTATTTGGCTTAGGAAAAGTATAAAACACTTAAAATAATTTACATCTGAGCATATTATATGAAAACCCTTCCTTTTATTATTTCATGGGAACTGGTAGATTACTTGTAGAAATTTGGCATTCAGTTCTTACATGGCTCTTCAGAAGACCCTCCCCCACACTCAACCGCCCTTACCCAGTGCTGGGGATGGAACCCAGGGCCTCGAGCATGCTAGGCAAGAATTATACCACTGAGCTATACCCCGAGCCCAGAAGAGCGATTTTTAAATATCTTTTTGTTGTGGATTAGCTGACATGGTTTAAATGGTGTTATTAGAGTCCCTTTTCATATCAAAGCACCTAAAGTTTTTAAACCAAAGTATAATAAGGTTGGTTGGTTACTCTTATCTGGGGCAGAGGGATAATAGAGAAGGATAGGATGTAATAAGGTGGAAGAAAACCAAATAAGAGTCTTCCGTATAATTAGGTTGTCAGGTGACCTCAAGCTCAGTCTAAGAATAAGCCCACCTGTGGTCATGTCACAGCAAGGAGGAAAGCAAATTGCCTGCTTTGTGTCCATGGAAGGAAATAAGGGAGGAACACCAAACACTACAGATCTAGGAGCTATTCAT